TCTTTTTAAAAAATGAGGATTACCTCAATTAATTTTTAAATATTTTTTAAATTTTATATATTTTTTACATCATTTTTCATTTTTGCACAATGTATGCATTTTCATCTTGGTTTAGTCCCCATACAATTCCCACCCCCTGCTTGTTTTGATCCTACTCCCTCCGCACCCCCAGTAGTGTGTCTTTGGTTTATAGTTGCTTGTTGATTTTGATTTTTACTTTATTGTAATTAGTCTTTTTCCTGGTCCTTTATTTAGGTTTTCTAAATTCCTGCTGTGACTGAGACCATCTGGTATTTTTCTTTTTCTTTCTGGCTTATTTCGCTAAGCATGATCCCTTCCACTGCTGGTAATATTTAGATAAAAAGAAAGGATTGAGGACTGGGAATAGAGATGGATGAAGAAGCTGTAGAGCAGAGATAGTATCTCTTTGCAACATTCCCCCCCGCCCCCAAGGGAGAAAGGTAGCTCATGCAAAGTATCTTGCCTTTTCTCTAGAGAGGTGATGTACACGAATAGAGTAGGCAGGAGGCAGGGAGTGGAGAGTGTTGATATTAAGTCAGTGGTCTATTTTGTTTCTGTGGGTGTCACAGGAAGTGAACACGATTCATCCTAAAGCTATAGAACACTATAGTATCCACAAGGAACTTGCCGATGTCCCTGTTAATTAGGTGATGCTAATTATATTAATAAAAACTACTGAAAGCTTTTTCTGTGAGAACACTAGGAGGTAGTCACGCTTTTGTGACTATAATGTTTTCATTAGAGATTTCTTTTTTTACAGTAATTCCCCACAAGTAAGAAGACCGGGTTAAAGGGAATGGCTGACTCAGTGGTTTTCAAATGCACCCTGTCTAGCTGCTTTCCGAAAGAATAGCATTAGCCATCTCTGATTTGTTATTTATCCATCTGCATATTTTGTTTTTACTGGACAGTCTCCCCTCAGTAGGAACACAGCTCTTCTTGATTGCAGAAGACACGCCTGCCCTTGTAATGGCCCTGAGTCCTGTGTTTTGTGCATTGGCAAGTATCTGGGCTTATTAGGTGGGCGGTGCCCTTGGTAGAGATGTTATGTAAGGACTTGTCACCTTCATTGGAGTCAGTCATCCCGCGAAGCCAGGAGTCGGCCGGGGATAATCGCAAAGGCTTGTGTGGGAGCCCTGCCTCTGACATCAATTAATTACCTGTCTGGACCTCAGTTTCCTCATAAGTAGATGAATAGGTTGGCCTAGTGACCCCAAAATGTCTTTCCCAGGCTGATGTTCTGTGATTCTCATTCCATGAGAGGTTACTACTGAGAATTCTATGTCCGCCTTGTCTTATAAAATAAGTGAAATGGAGGAGAAAATGAAAACTAGAGTTTGATTAAAAATTTTTGTAGCGTCATTAGGGGGGCTGTGGTCATGTGCCATGTTGACTTAGTACAGTGGTTCTGAATTAGGAGTGTCCATTAGAATTACCAGTGACCATTTAAAATAGATATGTGTACATATGCACATGTACTGCACAAATACACATGCTTGGGCCCCATGGCTTGTGATTCTGATGCAGTAGTTCAGAGTGAGAGCTAGGAAACTGGGGTGATTCTGATACAAATAAGGGTTGAGAGGCTTCCCTTAGACGACAAGCTTAAGGGTGGGGATGGGGGCAGAGACTATAGTTATAGTCTGGTCTGATGTATTCTGCAACAAATATAAAGCCCCATTGCTTTTTCTTGGATCCTATAATTGTTACGGATTTTAGTTTTACTTTAAAAGAAATGGATATTCCTCATATTTCAGAGATAAGGGGATTTCTGTATCCCTCTTTACTTTTTTATCCATGTTTTAGGTTAGTAATATTTGTGTGTCTGGTATATAAAGAAGGTCTCTTGATCTTTGACCCAGTCTTGACAGTAATATAGGGGTTACTTTAAATTTTTTTAATTTTAAATAATTTAAAAAATAACAAGGGCCTCCCTGGTGGCTCAGAGGTTAACGACAGTGCTATCAAGCTATCACCAGCCACTGCAGCACGAGTTGGATCCCCTGCCAGCCAGGAAGCAACCCACATGGTGCAGCAGACCTCTCCTGCCTCGCCCGCTGCTCCCCTCAGCAGTGTATTTCAGTAGATCTACCTGTTCTGTTCTCCACTCTGTCTCTGGTGAATCCTCTCACCTCCGCCCCTCTGGCCTGTACCCCAGTATGCATAAATAAGTTGGTGTTAAAGAAAATAACTTAACAAATAGTATGTATTCATGGCTTAAAAATCCATAGTGTAAAAATATATTGAAAGGTGAAAGTCCACCTTTGTAGAAGTAACCGTTGTTAACTTCTCTTGAGATTAGCTGCTTTTGTTAACACTTTGTTTAAACACCAGTCTGGGTGTAGTGACAGTATAACATACTGGTTAAAAAATGTGGACTATATCTTTTCACTTACGGTCAATTGATTTTTGACAGAGATGCCAAGTCATCTCAATAGGGAAATGCAAATCGCGCTGGGACAATGGGATATCTACAAGTTAAGATTGAAATTGGACTCCTTCCTCATACCACACACAAAAATTAACTCAAAATGATTAATAGAATTAAATGTAAGAACTGAAACTATAAAACTCTTAGAAGGAAACTTTGGAGTAAATCTTTATAACCTTGGATTAGACAATGGCTTATTAGATATGACACCAAAAGCACAAGCAAGAAAGAAAAAAATAGATAAATTGCATGTTATAAAAGTTTTAAATGTGGGCCTCCCTGGTGGCGCAAGGAGTTAAGCATTGCACTATGAAGCCGTCCACAGCCTCTGCAGTACAAGTTCGATCCCTGGCCGGCCAGGGAGACAACCATATGGTGAGGTAGACCTCTCCTGTTTCTCCCACTGCTCCCCTCAGCAGTGTATTTCAGTCAGTCTGCCTGTACTGTTCTCCACTCTGTCTCTGATGGATCTTCTCACCCCCACCCCCTGCATCTCTGGCCTCTACCCCAGCTCTTGTATGCATATATAAATAAATCTTAAAAAAAAAAATTAAAATGTATGTGTTAAAAGACAGTGTAAAAGACACTATCAAAATAAATAAATAACCTACAGAAAGGGAGAAAACATTTGCAAATCAGATAGCCGGTAAGGGACTTGGATCCAGAAAATATATGTAACTCCTGCAACTCAAAAACAAAAACAGAATAGTCCAATTATAAAAAAAGGAAAAGGATTTGAACAGACATTTCTCTGAAGAGGAGATATATATATTCAGATAATCAATAAGCACATGAAAACTTGCTCAACATTATCAGCCCTCAGGGAAATGCAAATCAAAACCACAGTGAGGCATTACTTCACACCCACTAGGATGACTGGGCTAAAACAGACAGATAACAAATGTTGACAAGGATGCAGAGAAATTGGAATCCTCATACATTGCTGATAGGAATGTAAAATGGTGTGATTGTTTTGGATAACAATTTAGTGGTTCCTCAAAAGATTTTGCATCACCAGACAGTTCTACTCCTAGGTATTTAAAGAATTGTAAACAGGTGTTCCAAAAAACAAAACAACTTACACATGAGTGTTCATTGCATCTCTACTCACCATAGGCGAAAGGGGGAAATAACTCATGTGTCCATCCACTGATGAGTACATAAATAAAAGATCTTATATACAAAGTCTGGAATGTTACTTGGCAGTATAAAGAAATGAAGCATTGATGCATGTTATGGCATGGATGGGCCTTACTTATGCTAAACAATAGAAGCCATATTGTAGATTTCAGAAAGTAGATTAGTGGTTGCCTAGAGTTTGGGGGATGGGAGGAGACTTGCTGGAGGGAAATAGGAAGTGATTTCTAATGGATTTGAGATTTCTTTTTGAAGTGATGAAAATTCTAAAATTGATTGTGATGATGGTTGTACAACTGTGTGAATGTACTAAGGATCATTGAATTGTGCATTGCTAATTAGTGAATTCTTTGTCACGTGAATGATATGTCAATAAGCTTGTTTTCCAAAAAGAATGGAAGAGAATTATAACAAATTTAAATAATACTAGCTCACCACTTACTGTCAGCTCTGCAACTTTGGGGAAGTTGCTTGACCTCTCTGAGTCTGTTTCCATATTTGTAAAATAGAGAAGATGTAGCAGTGTTTATGTAATGGTATCCTTGTAAGGATTAAATGAGATGATGCCTGACAGCATTAACCCCCTGTCTAGTTCTGGGTAAACATTAATAACAACTATGAATATGGTGAGGAAATTGAAGAATGAATAGGTCTTAGATAAGCAGAGAGGAGAGGAAAATTATTTGTGGAGCAAGTAATCAGCGTAGGATTAAGCTGGCTTTGTTTGTGGGCCCAGACCAAGATAGCTAGTTTAAATATTTACAAGCCAGAGGTAGCAATCTCTCGGTGGTTTGGGCTGGTGATGATGCCAGGATGACAGTGCTGTCATGTGGGGGTGACATGCCACTAAGATGGGTAATGTTTGTTAGGGTGTCACACTGGGCCACAGCAAAATCCTGCGGGGGAGTGATAATATGAAAAAAGTATTAAAAAAAAAAATCTTGCTGCGTCTGTGGCCTTAAGATCCAGTGTCTGAGTCTCCAGGAGTTGGCTGGAGAACACAGAGCCGAGCCTAGAGTTGCATCGTCTGCTCCCATGTCTCCAAGCAGGACTGAGTGGGAAGTGGACATAAAGTCTGCATTTCAGCCACAGTGGGGAGATGGGAGGGTAAACTGTGGCCCTCAGTGTATAGAACCTGTTATTTTTTCTCTGACTTCCAAGGATAGTTCAAACTTTTGCTATCATTATTCCAGCTGGCCTGAGAACTAATCCTGAGTGTGACAAAATCAGTCAGGAATACTGAGTGGCTGGCAGTCTCCCCTCAATGATAGCTAAACGTAAAGAGTCCTTCCGCAGGTTTCATATGGCCCTCGGGGCTAAAACCGTAAGGCTTTTAGAGTGAACCTAATATTAGAAAATGCATCATGTTTTCCTTTCTGATAATTACCATCTTTGCTCCCATGACTTCTAGCCAAGGATCCTCTCCCAGGCCCAGAAAAGCCAGCTGCTGGTGTGAATGTTCCCTTAGGGGCCACCAGCACCGCCGTCACGGACCCCGGAGCCCTGCTGCAGGCCTACATAGACAGTCACCCTGTGGTCATCTTCAGTAAGTCCACCTGCAAACGCTGTGCGGAGGTAAGGCTTCAACCTCAGTGGGCAGTGACAAATTGCTGAATTAAAGACGTTTGACAGATTTTGAGCTCAAGTATAAACAGTGGAATTCACCTTAGCAAGGGGACGTGTGTAGCTGTAACTTGCAGAGTGTTGCTTTGAAAACAAAATATTGAGTAATATTTTTCCCCGGGTGTTTGCAGAGTACTAGAGCTGTTTTCAGGTAGTCAAGGTTAGGGAGCGAGGGTTTCCAGCCCAGGGGGCCTGCTGCTTGCTCAGTCTCTGAGAATGTTTCCTAAAGGGCTGTTATTTAAATTGTGATCTCTTGATGTTCACAAAGAATAAACTGTGCTTCCAATTTGGTTCTTATTCCAGATTATCTAGGATTAGAGGTCAGTGATCACAGCCCTAGGGAGGAATGAATCCCAATTAACCCCATCAAGAAACTGCGGATTCAAAAATAAACCTGATCTGGTGCTTTAGAGGAAAATTGAGAGCATTTAGCTTTAAATTTATGCTCAATGTAGCTGCAGGGCTAGACATAATTGACTCTTAAAAAAAAAAATAACTGGCCATCTATTAAGTTCAACTCTTCTCTTCTTGTCTCCTCCTGACATTTTCTCAGGGAAGTTGAATGCAGAAGGCTTTTTTATTCTGGAAGCCTTATAAATGGCAGGGATTTTTTTTTTTTTTTTTTTGAGAGAGAGAGTGTGTGTGTGTGTGAGAGAGAGAGAGAGAGAGAGAAAATGGGTAAAGAGTGGAAACACATTCTGGTTCTCACCTGGGCATAGTCACCTCATTGCCACCTGGGTATTCATCCCTGTCGATGCCATGGAGAGGATATCGTGTTGGGAGTCGGAGTGCAAGGGGCTGGGAGACAAGTCCCATTCTTGGCGGCTTTAGTGGAGGGTAGAAGGTAGCACATAGGCTTAGGGAGAAAAATGATCTAACACAACCCATTTGAAATTCTAGGTCTAGGCAGAAATGTTCCAGAGTTTAGAAGCAGACTGGGTATTAGAAATTTGCTCTATGATTCTTGGCCTTTGGGAGCTTAATAATCTGGCTCTGGTGATCTTGTCTGCTTTTGAGGCTCCTCTACATTGTTTTTTTTTCTTTCATTTTTTGTGTAGAAGATCTGACGTGTAGGCTAGGGTGCAGGGGGCTGAGAAGATTCACCAGAGACAGAGTGGGGAGCAGAACAGGCAGATTTGTTAGAGGGAAAGGATGTCCTGTGCTAATCCCATACAGGCTTTGTGGATGCCACCCCCACTCCAGACTAAAGCCATCAGGACATTGGGAAAGACAAATCCCGTCACCACCAAAGGGAAGGTGGCTGGGACCTGAGGGTGGAGTTAAGCAGCCAGGGTTGGTATAAAAACCAGACACGTGGGCCTTGGGCTCTCTTGCTCTACCGCTCGCCTCCTGGCTTCATGGCTCCTGGCTCGCGGCCAGCTCTCAGAGTGCCATTTTGGGATTCCTGATCAGTGGATTGGGTAGGACGCATTTAAAACTTTGTCTCCCACTTTTCTCCCTAAGCTGTACATTTCCTCATTTTCCCTTCCCTTGTAAATAAACCTTTTATTAACCTTTCGCATGTGCCTGCAGTAAAACATTGATAAGTCCTTTTAAGCGCGCAGGTGAGGACCCACAGTCAGGCACCCCGTTTTGTATTGGGGCTGCCCTATAACAGTTTGGCGCCCAGCGTGGTTTCCAAGTTACACCCGCAGTTGACCAGCCCAAAGTAATGTTCCTTGCGTTGACTGAAATACACTGCTGAGGGGAGCAGTGGGCGAGACAGGAGAGGTCTGTTGTGCCGTATGGGTCAGCTTCCTGGTGGGGATTGATCTTAGGTCATAGTGGTGATAGAGCTGAGACTTCACCCCTAGGCCACCAGGGAGGCCCTACCTTGTTTGTTTAATCTTTAAAATGAAGGGCTTGGATTAATTGATTATTGAGATTCCTTTTAGTTCTGAAATTTTGTGGTTGTCTAATCTTTTCTGTTACCAGTTAATGGTTAAGAGTCTGAACTCTGAAGACACAGTTGGATCTTGGCTCTGTGACTTATTAGCCATGTGACCTTGGTTAAGCTATTTACCATCATGCCTCAGTTTTCTCATCTGTAAAATGTGAATAGTAGTACCTGTCTTCTGAGTTTGTTGTGAAGATGAAATAATATTTTACAAGAGCCCTTGAAAAATGCCTGGCATATATTAAATGCTATGTAAATTTTTTGTTAAATACAAGAACACTTTGCAATTCTTGTTTTCCTATCAGGACTAACAATTTGGATATTGACCTGCCTTTGGTTAAATGGTGATCAACAAATATCAACCATTCTAAGAATAACTAGTACCATTGAAAAGTGGTTACTTTTACTAGTCTAGCCTCACCCTTCAAAACCCCACACTCACACTGGCATAGTAGAAGGAACACTTGGAGTGAAAAGACTTGTGTTCTCATTCTGTAAATCTCAATTTCCTCAACAATAAGAATGACATTACCACCTTATCTATAGACTTGTTAAATACGGCTTGATCATGAGGAACAGATGACTCCAAACCTATGAGAAAGCACTTGGAAGCCTGCGGCATTTGCTTATCTTGCTAGTACACCTTCGCATGCCTATTGTGTGTCAGGCACAATTTGGGCACTTTCCTTGTATTTTAAAATGCTATTAAGGAATGGGGAATGTCCACTTCTGACCCTGCCTAGTTCTGAAGATGACTGGTCAAATCTCAAGGTGACCTGTGGTGGGCAGCTTTGGGTCAGCTTCTTCTGCAGGGGCCTGTCTAGGCCTGCCTGAAAGTGTGGGGGCCTGGATGTGCCGGGCAGACCCCTCAACGGCCTCCCTGCCTGTTTTAGTTATCAGACTCAAATAACTTCAAAGTGGTTCATATTTCTCATCAAACTGTTTTTAAACTTGTACCAATTTATATGGAAATCAATTTCCAATTTTTTTTTTGGCCCTGAGGGATGGTTAGGTGCCTCTCCTGGTAAAAATAGCGATTTTCTTCTGTGTGGGCACAACTTATATATTTGACTGCTCACAATCTTTTCTCTTTCCATTTAAATGACCTTGAAGTAGAATTTCCTCAGGTTATTTCCTTCAGTTTTGATTTTATCATCTCACTTGTGTTGTGATTAGAGTAAATCAGGATGGAGAAACTTTGTTCTTCAGATCTTTATTTAATCTTATTAATTTGCATTTCTCTCTGTGATGAGTAATATAATTTGCATCAGTTCATTAATTCCCAAATTAGGAAATACAAGAGAAGACATTAACTTCCACATGAAGTTGGTTTCCTGCTTGTTGCTCAGCACATCACCATGGGCTCTTTGAATGTACCCCTCTGGGAATGGTGGATTTTAAAGTGCAAAACCCGCCCTACCTTTCAGAAAATGTGGTGCTTTTTTCTTACAGCTGTTGAATAGCTGAAGTCAAACATATGCGGTTAGGATTAACAAGTGATGTCCTGCTTCAGCTTTCCTGTGGCTTGATATCCAGATCCATCCCCACTTCTCCACAGTGTGTCTATTTTATGGGAAGCTCACCCTTTACTTTTATCAATAAGAATATTCTAGAAACTGGCACTTCTGATTTTTAATACAGGTCTTTGATTTTGTACTGTAGAGCGATGCTGAAGTTTAACCAGAGTGAAAAGAACCCACACAGTAGTTTCTTGAGGTGGCGTCATGAGTATTCTGGAGTCTGTATTTTCTACCTTCACAAAGTGAAGGTGTCAGATTATGATGATAACTTTTAGTTGCTGCTTTAAGGATTTTCTCTCTGTATATATTTGGAAAGCCTGTGGGTGTTTTGGGGTTTTTTTGGGTAGCAAACTATATATGATTTATTTATAAAACTCAGTGGCTAAAGAAGTATTAAGGGTATCAATGATTTTATACATACATTTTGTTTCAGTCTTAGAAAATAAGTGTTAGAATATCAGTTGACAATTGTCCTGTGGTCTCCCAACTATAGGGAGCCTTAAAAATAGCAGAAGTTTGGATTTGCTTTCTGATCCAACCAGCCACTCTTTGCCTTTTAATTGGTGAGTTCAGGCCATTGACTTTTAGGGAAATTATTGATATATAAGTATTTATTGCAATGTTTCTATTTGTTTTCGGGATGTTTTTACGAGTTGTTCCTATTGTTTTATTCTTCTCTTGTTCTGTTCCATTGCGTTTTAAAAGCTACCATTCGCGTGCATTCCATTTTATATTCTTCTTTGTTTCCTCCAGGCATTTTTGTTCTGAGGTTATCATATGGCTCATATATGGAGCTGTATATTTAAAATCTATCTAAAATCTTATCTTTTCAAATAATTGTTTCCAAGGGGAGCTGATTCCTACTGGGAGACAGGCCCTGTCCAAAGGAATATTAGAAGGCCACTGAGGGTGTGTGATGAATTCATTCTCCCATTTTATTGAAATATGTTATTTGTTCTTATGAAAATGATGGGAATCTTTCATGCACTTTTGTACAATGAGAAGTGTGCTGTTTTAATTGTTAAATTAGACTGGGACAAGAATGCATTCCCATGATTTAGTATTTCTGTGAATTCCAGGCTACTCTGGCCTTTTGAATTTTATTGTGTAAGCTGGAGGAATGTGGTTCTAAACTTTACAAAAATACTAATGACAGACTATCTGTGTCTTGTATGCACCTGTCATTTTAAGATCTCTTTTATCAGTAATTTATATGTTATTTATGATGTCAATTTGGCAAAAATAACTTACTTTTCAAGTAAAAAATTTTTCACTAGTGTAGTTTGCATAATCTTGAACTGAGTTGTTAGCTGAAGGTTAATTGGTCAAGAAGTAAATAATTGTTTTGCTCTTGTAAAATGTATTTTTTCCCCAATGTTGCCACATGATGTTTTGGAAACATTAAGTATTCTAGAGCCTTTTAAAATAATATAAAACCCATTTTATTGTTAGGTTGACTGAGTCACTAAACATGTAAAATATATTTTATGAGGTTATATTGGTGAATCATTGAAAATAGAATTGAATCAACAGACTTCAAATATCCTTTTAAATATCATTACTGTCAGCAGGGAGAATCTTATGGGTAATAGAAAAATGAACTGGAAATTTTCCAAAAGAGTAGAGTGATTAAGGAGGATTAACAAAGTTGGGTAAGAGACTATTCTATTGATTATATCGTTGATGTGGTTTTTGTTTTTTGACATTCTTAACCTTATTTTTAACTTCTAGGTAAAGGAGTTATTTAAATCTATGTGTGTTCCATGTTTCTTCCTTGAACTTGATCAAGCAGGTAAGATTCTGCTCTATATGTAAATTATATCTACTAATTGTTAATTTTATTTAATCTATCCTGCCTGGCTTATATTTTTCTTTCATGAGGTTTATATTATTTGGTGAATTCTTCGCAGTTTTTTCCTTTATTTGACTGTTTAGATTGGATACTACTCTGGGCTAAAGGTAAAGACTTTTAGTCTTTATCCACTTTATAGCCTTGATATTACTCTGAAATTCCTGTTGTTGAAATCATTCTATTGACCTAGAGTCTAGTCACAGTACAATATTTGCTGGTCTTGTGTTTACTTTATTGCTATTGTGTCTACCAAATGGTGTTTGAATTAAATATAAATTTTGATGTATTCTTAAATTTCAGCAAGGACATAGAAATACTAGTAAGGGTAATGATCCATGAAAGGAACTGGTAGCAAAGCATTGCAAGTGACTGGATTTCCTAGGGAAAAATAGGTTGGTGGAGCAAAATGGGGAGTCTCTTCCTAAAACCATGGTGTTCACATTTTTTGTCATGTATCAGATATCAAAGATTCATCAGCAAACATTACTAAGAACTGGAACAGGGGCTCATCACCATCATTTCTATAAGGAAAAGTGGGCACTTCCAGAATCAGGAAGCATAGGTAGCCTTCATGCCTAATAGCTTGGGGAAGCAGAGTCCTGGGTACTTCAAGTCTCAGCTCAGTGACTGAAGGAAAAAAACAGCAAGGAACAGACTCAGCTAGAGAAAAATGAGGTAATTAGGACAGAAAACTTATTTTAAGGAGGAAGAAGGTATAGTTGTAGAGTGGGGAAACCATTGCTTGATGTTTCTAAAGAGAGATCCCCTACCAAAGCAACATATATCACAATAAATTAAATACTGAGGCAGATAGGAGAATCAAACTGTTGTCTATTAAATATACACGAAAATTGCAAAAAGGCAAAATAATAACCAACTTTTCATAATGTATTTTTGTTAATTAATTTTTAGTTAATTAAAGTGATTTTAATTAAAATGTTATTTATGTCAACATGTAATGGGTCTGTTACTGTGAAATTCTTTTTAAAGATTTATTTATTTATGCATACAAGAGCTGGGGTACAGGCCAGAGGTGTGTCGGGGAGGGGGGTGGGAGGATTCACCAGAGACAGAGTGGGGAGCAGAACAGGCAGACTGACTGAAACACACTGCTGAGGGGAGCAACGGGTGAGACAGGAGAGGTCTGCTGGGCCATGTGGGTAGCTCCCTGGCCGGCTGGGGATTGAACTCTTGCTGCAATGGCTGCGGACAGCTTCATAGGTTGCATCTTAACCCCTTGTGCCACCTGGCATGCCCTGTTACTGTTAATTTTAAGTGAATTAATAAATATAGATATTCATTGACATACCATTGGTTTGCAGTACTGTATAAGTTGCATTATTATCGCTTCACACCACAATAAATGTATTCAATAAATATTTTTAAAATGTCTCAGCTTTAATTTCTAGTGAGGTAAATATTGACAGCTATAAGCCATATGAACAAGTTCTGTGGGCCCTAATAATTATTGAAGCATGTAAAGGAGTAGTGACAACAATCATTTGGCACCCTCTGTTCTAAGATAACTAGAGAATGTGTTAGTCCAAGCACTTTTGATCCTGTAAGGTTTACTTGTGCTCAGCTTAAGAGGAATGCCATCCAATATCTGTTGGGCACATGGGCCTCCTCCCCAGGAGAGGTATACGATCTGGTCCCTGTCTTCAAGGAGCTTGTAACTATGGACCCGAAACTGCTGAGGTGGTCTCTGAGTGCTGGTTTCATGTATGAACAGTGGCTGATCTGCTTCTGCCTGACTCCATGCAGAACCCTTCGTAGACAGGATTTTCCCAGGTTCCCTCACTCCCCAGTGCCTGGTTCATAGCAGCTTCTCAGAGGATCAGCAGGCCAGTTGGTAGGCGGGGATATTTGGTATAGAATCAAGTGGGCACCTGATTCACTCAGCTTGTTATTTGAGTGTTGCTGCGTGTGAGACTCTGTGCTAAGCCCTGGAAATACAGCAGGAAACTGGGTGGGTGTGCTCTGTGTTCTTAAGGAGTTAGACTTTTCTCAGAAAAGCCTTTTTCTCTTCATTCCCAGCTGAGAGCCCATGGCAGCCTGTGGGTTGCCTGACGGGCTTGGTGATGGAGGGGATACACAGCGGGGGCCTGCAGTTGTGTAAGTGGTTCACAGGACTCCAAGGTGGAACCTCCCCCCACCATTTCCCTTCCTTCTTTGGGGCTGCATCTCAGGCAGTGTATATAAATGAAGGCTGTTGTTTGGAATAGTTCTCCAGATCACCTCTGACCTTGGTATTGGTGTTGGCATTGGGGAGAGGAGCTTAGCTCAGGAAGGCATGGCATTAGTGTCTGTGGCAACGGTCATGCATGCTGTGCTCCAGTGCCACAGACTTGTATGTGTTCTCCTATTTAATCTCCAAATATCACCATTGAGGAAGGTGGTGAGATCACCTTCCCATGATGAGGAAACAAAGCATGGAAAAGTACTACTAGCAAGGACAGCTGACTTGCTAGTGAACACACTGGTCATTCCTGGTTCCTTCCCTCTGCTTCCTCTGACTACCTCCTCTGATTACCTGACCCTTCCTGCCTTACGTTTGTCATTCTGGGTATTGATATGATGATAAACATTCCTGCAAGTGACCGTGACTGTTGCAACCAGAGACTGTGCAACCCGCCACTGCCATATCTGCTGCACTTCAGCTGCCTATGAGGAAGGGCTGCAGCTCACATGGCTTGTTGATGTATGACGTCTTGTATCTCAACTTCAGGTCTCTGCCCAGTGGCTTCGATCTGAGAAACAGACACCATCAATGTAATCATCTTAATTTGATCTGGCAGCTGCTGCCATTCTTCAGTTACTGCTGGAGGTTCGAGAGCATTTGTGTGACAGTTTGCCAAAAGTCTGGATCTGGCAGCCTGTGTCTCTAGCTTTGGGCTCCTGATGTGTATCATCTTGGAGCCCTGGCTGCTTATCGAGAGCATGGCTTTAAAGCTTTCAGCAAGAAGGGGAGGAACTAATAGCTGAGTCCCTTCTTTATGTCAGTGTTGTTAGAAAGACTATGTCAGTAAAGACTTAATGTCAGTCTTTTCCACTTCATCCTCACAACGACCTTGTGAGATTGTTGCATTAGTTCTGTCTTGCAAGTGAGGAAGCTGATCTGAGCATTGTAGTGACTTGCTCAGTGTTGCCCAAGCCTGTCTGTTTCCTCAGTTGCCTCTTCAAAGATTGGTTTCCTTAAATAAAATCCCCAACAGGCAGAGATACCCCAGGCTAGCTCAGACCTTCCCACTTTTGGCATTGATGTTTATCCATGCAACAGTTGTGTTTTGGGCATCTGTTCATGTGCCAAGCAAATGAATAAAGCAATCTTATTCTTCATGGTCATTCTACTTGTTCCCAGCTGCCTCCTTTCTAATTTCACTGTAATCTTGTGACCAGAAAGTCCATAGGATCATGAAGTATCTGTAAGAGGATGTTGGATAGGTATTTCTCAGTAGAACAAAAATAGTAGTAAGAATTCATGACTGTAAACAAAACAAGTTAGAAAACATCATGGCTTGTTCATCTAGCGTGGTTCTAGTAAGGCACGCCTGCAGAGAGAATGATGATGAGCAGTGAAAGAATGAAGAGGCTTTATCCTGAAGGAAGCAGTGTCCGTGGAGGGGGTCCTGTGTATTTTATGAGTGAGACTCAAGATAGTCTGTAAGCATTTTTGTTTTGATAGTAAACATTCATTTAAAAAATTTTGGAGTCGGTAGTCTAATAAAATATAAAAATTACATGTATTTACATCCAGAGATAACCACTACTAATATTTTTGTGTATCTTTTATATATCCTGTATTCTGTTTTGTTTTATAATATTTTGCATGCTGTTAAAAGTCCTTAATAGTTTTCTTAATATATGAAATATTCTGTATAATATTTTATAATATTATACAGAATTGTAATATAATTCTGTATAATATTTGTATAATATAAAATTCTGTATAATATAAAATTCTGTATAATATTACTTAGCCACTCCACTGTGGTTGGGCAAATAGTCTGTTGCCAGTTTCTTTCTCTTTTATACGTAAAACTTTTGATGCATTTAGAATTGTTTTTTGAGGCTGGATTACTGGAATGGATTTCTGGGTCAGGGTATGAACTTTTCTAAGGTTCTAGAGCCTTTTAAATGATGTGCACCGATTGATAACTCCACAAGTTTAATGAGTTTTTAATAGGTTTAAAGAATTATTGTTTGGTAATTTGAGAGATTAAATGATGTCCTTATTTTAATTTGTATTTCTTTGATTATAAATGAGACAAAATATTTTTTGTATTGCATTGTTTGAAGTGTGTTTTGATTATTGTATGTTGATTATCTGAATTGTCAGTCCATGTAATAATGGTAACAGGAAACTGTTAGGACAATTTCTATGTGCTCTAAGCCCTTCTGGTTAACTAATTTAATCCAATTGCTCTGTGAGCTTGTATTACTACTATCTCCATATCACAGATAAGGAAATGAAGACACAAAGGGCTTAGATGACTTGCTCAAGGCTGGTACAGCCAGAGAGCGACAGAGCCTGAACTTGAAACCAGGGATCTCTGGCTCCAAAGTCCAGGGTCTTACTGCTGAATTGTTTTCTGATCTAATCTGAGTTTATGGTCTTTATGGTCATCGTGCTTCCCACTAACTTCTACATCCAACACACCCTACGCCCCACACACACCCCAGGCTGCTTTCAACACCCAGCTATTCATGGAAGTTACCACTGCACTGATTGGTCCCTAAGTGTGTTCTTTGCTCTTTATTAGTGGATCAAGAGGAGTGGAGGCAGGTAGTTTTATAGCATTCCCGTAAAAATCCAGACAGACATAGCTCTCTATTCAAGTAACTTTTGGTTTGGACTGAATGCAAGGGAAGTTGATGGTCCACTTAGGAAAACAACTCATACATTTTATAAAAGGATTTCTCTTAACTAGAAAGTAGAA